CAATGAAAACATGGTGATGATTTTCTGTGGTTTTATACCATTAATTAATCTTTTTTAGGCACGATAAAAGAGCAGAAGTGATTCTTCTTCTTTGTGACATGTCATTATTATGATTAACAGATGCATAACATTCTTAGTTAAACAACAAAGAAATCACGAACAGGAAAGATTGTTTCTGTCCATTATCTGATTAAGAGAACTGAAGTCCTCCTGTAGGTTGAAATGACCCATCATGGCCTAAAATAGAGTTCAGTGTTCCTGCCTTCTCTGTCAGGCCTTCCTAGACCTGCTTTGAGGCAGTAACTCCTGTTTCTTCACTCGAGGTGACCCCTACAAACGCTTTGCACAGAGCATGGTGAGAAACAGTTTGGCCAGGGCCTTGTGTCGAGAAGGGGAAGTCCCGTCTGCACTACAAAGCAAATGATGCAATTTTCATCAAGTGTGACAATGAGAGCYGATTTCGGTAGTGTGGAGGGAGTATGCAGAGGCCTTTAGTTACACTTTAACGTTCTTATTCTCAGGTGGTCTTCTACATCTTTGCCATGGTGGGGATGGAGCTCTTTAAGCACAAAGTGAAGTTTTATGAGGACCACAATGAGCCATCAAAGTTATATTGTGGAAACCCTCTGCTGAATAATACAGCCTTCGCACAACTGAACTACTGCAAGAACAACTTCAACAACGTGGTGTCGTCCTTCATCCTGCTGGTGGAGCTCACCGTGGTTAACCAGTGGCATGATATCCTTTAAACAAACACGCATGGCTGTTTTATTTACTGCTGTTTTTTCTGATGTTAATCACATGTAAATTATCTCAACTGCCACAAAATCTGAGGATCTACATTCATTTTTCTAACCCTTAAGTCAGACTGAATTCATATCACATTTCATGGAAAAACCAACCCAGTGTATTTACTAATAAATACAAGTTATACATTGTGAATATAGAAGTCTAAGTGACATTAAGATAGTTCATATTAAAAGAAAATAGTAACAATATTTCATTTATTTGAATAAAACATTCACAATATACATATCAAGTTGTACGGATTATCTGTAAATTACACAGATTTTCCAACATTTTGTATGCATACAGACATGTAAAGTCTCTGATTTTTTTTTTTCAAATGTCAGCTTCCAATTTATTTTACACCCCAAAGCCAGCCTGTAAGGAAATGGTAAGTTTGCTCCCTACTCTTCCCACTAGATTATACCTGGTCCCCTATAGATATGATGCAAACTCTGTTACCCACCTCGCTCCAGCAGTTCTTAACCTTTTTGACCTCGGGGCCCAGTTTGTTGAACATAAAGTGACACGAGGCCAAGTCAGACTAACTAACATAACTAAATTAAATACACTTACAGTTTAAAAGTAAAACTCCTGTTAAATAATCACAAGACATGATTATGACAAACATTTTTATATTGTAACCTGCCCATAACAATTATTTGAACAAATACAAAGGTCAGTCAACAGACCACTCAGGCTTGTCAGCACAAAAATATATACATTTTTTAACACAAAGAATAGAC